CAGTTGCAATCTCATATAATGCGGTCCGGCTCGTGAACCGGCGCACTGGGGGGGGGGGGCTGAACTACGTATCCCGCTCACTACAAACTATGCAATGCCCATAATCAAGCGCACAATTTGCACGTTGATGGGCCCGGAGCACTCGAACAAACCTGGAGTTTATTCTGAGTTGTCGAGCGAAGGCCGCTCCAAAAGGCTACCGTGAAGATAGCCTACAAGGGAGAAATTCGAACACCGTTGGTGTGCTGGGGTGGTTGGGGTTGGGTGTGTATGTGTGTGTGTGTGTGTGTGACGGGTCGAGTACTCCAAGCGATGGCAGTTGACCCATATCACTGCCCACTTAGCAACACTTACCAATGATTGTTTCGATTTACTTTTATTTATGTTGCTCCAACATGAATTCCGGCTTTGTTACAAAAACTGAACAATCAAAAGGTTCACTTTTAACGAAATCTGTATTCAATGTAGTTGGATAATCGGGAGGCCATGTGTACAATCTGCGAGCAGCGTTTCGGTGTGACGGCGGAATGGCCCCTGTCGTTCTGCCATAAACATTTACGAACTCAACTCCTGTGCTGGCCAACAACAACTTTGGAGCGGAAGTCAACCTAGGGTTTTCGTTGCCCCAGACTGCACCGTCCCTGTCGGGAAGCACAACGCAAACACCCAGCTCGTCGAGTGCATCCCAAAACAATTTAGGGTCATATGCCTTAGTGTCAAATCGCGGTGCTGACCACGACGATGATCGGAAATTTGGTCTATGTGATGACGACCATAGCATTGATTACTGCGATATGAAAAGTTGTGCGCACGACCACCCTCAAATATGTCGTGAATTCAAAGCGAAAAAAGCAAAAAGAGCGAAAATAGCTTCGACATTTAATTTTCATCGCTCGAGCCAATGTGGGGTTACGACATATTCGTACACTATCCTCTGTTCTTTGTCATCGCAAATTTCAGTAAGTATGACTACGATGTAATTTTTGTTGTTTGTGGTTGCCATCTTCATTTTGGTGTGATGTCCTATGCACTGTGCAGATCTTCTGTTTTCTTATTTCGTTGTTGTTCTTCGTGAAATGCGGTGACATCATGACACAGGCCTCAACGTTCGATAACAATGTGCTATCCTGTTTATTTTCCATTGTTTTCTTTCTACAAAACTCCACGATGGGAAAACCGTGTATTATTACGAGTCCTTGACACCG